TATAACCGATCATGAAAACGGCCATTTTTCTGCTACAAATTTTTGTAAAATACCAAATTCTGTTACAACAAATTTTTGCAAATTTTGTTGCAAATTTTTGTCCTGTTACAAATTTTTGCAAAATACAAATTTCTGTTACAGATTTTTGTAAATTTTGTTACAAATTTTTGTCCTGTTATAAATTTTCTGTTACAAATTTTTACAAAATTGCAGGAAAATTAAGCGATAAAGGAAATGAGATACGACAGAAATCCGTTACTTTGATAGCGAAATATTTGGATGGTGAAGGCAGTGAAAAAGGACTAAAGCTTGCCGAAGAAGTGAGGTTTTTTTTTGATTTTTTCTTTTTAGGAAATTATCGAGGAAAAAAGGATGGCGCGATAGCGTATTTTTCGCTTCTTTGTCATGTAATATAGAATCGTGATCGCACAGTGTTAACAGATTTGATGTATTAACAAAAAGCGTTATATTCGCGTTAGAAGTCGAAAATTGAATTCTATGACTGGGAAAACCAATTTTAATGCGTTTTGAGCTGTGAAACAGCTGTACAAAACGCATATTGTCACGGGGTTGTCTGTGTGTATGTATTTATGTATGTGTGCGTGTGCGTTTGTGTATGTGTGTGTGTGTGTGTGTGTGTGTCCGCAGCGATTTGTCCGCAACTTTCAACTCGGGAACCACGAAAGGTAAGAGGCTGAAAATTTAGGGGAGTGTTCCCTGCCCAAGTGTGACCCTGAAAATTTAAATTCAGCCTTCCCTTGCCTGCGGGTAACAAGTACGGCCCCATAAAGGCTTTGATGGGTAGAATTGTTATCACGGGAATCACGGAAGCTAGAAAACTAGGATTTTGTGAGATATTCACCTTCCAGTGTTTCAAATTTAGCTTTCATGTACCGATGCGTAAAAATTTTAACTGTTTTCCAATGTTTGATCTATTTTTGCACAGACCAAAGTACAAAGCAGTGAAAATCATTAGCAGGCAATCGTTCGGTGGGTGGAATTGCACAAAACGCATGATCGCACCGACTATTCTGGTGTGCGCTGCTATTTATTTGACTTAATTTTTCGATATGATTTGACTCTGAGTTATGCCAGGAAACCGCAAACATCACCAGCTTGTTTGAATAGTAGCCTTTAGAGAAGCAGAGGGGCCGTCGACATCCTTGCCACCGGCTTGCGATGATTTTGGCGCACAAAAAAACAGCTGTTGCTTGATAATATCACAAAAAAAGTGCCCGTGCCAAGTCAGTTGCCTAAAGTCAATTTCGCGGTTGTTTTTTCGTCATTTATTCATTTTTTTTTCAGATAGAAGCAGCAATTTATGACGAATTTGGGGATCCAAATGATCACAAATATCGCTCACGAATTCGATCACGAGTCTCGAATTTAACTCATAACGCCCAGATCCGAGAACTCATCCTTCACGGATCAGTGGCGCCTGAACGAGTTTGTTCCTTATTTTGCTTTTTATGCATTTTTTGCAGCTATGCAAGGCAGAAAACGCGTATTGACAAGAAATTGTCTGTGTGTTTTTGTGTGTGTGAGTGTGTGTGTGTCTGTGTGTGCGCTGCTGCGCGTCTGTACCGATTTTTCATCTTGAAACTCACAAAAGCCAAGGACTGAAACTTGGGGAACTTATCTTACATGCATGTACAGGCCTCAATCTCCGAAATGGGCGCTCTTACCCGCGTGGTATCCACGTACGGACCCGTGAATTTTTTTCCAATAAGTTGCTAATTCAGGAGCCAGAAGAGTTAGAAGCTGAAATTTTAAGGGGCTGTTTCTTGACAGTTCTGGCGACCAGTCTTAATTTGTTTAGCTAGAAGCATTTGCCGAAAAAGACCGGTGCCGATAGCGACAAAAACTGCAAGGAACGAACTATGCAAAAAACGCATCTTCGCACGGGTAGCCCATGCGTTGGCCAGTTATTAGTAATGAAAATTTGGCCATGTAGTAACTGAATACACTTTGAATTTGCTTATTTTTTTACATTTTTCTGCTGGTTGTGCTTGAATTTTGAGCCTAAAAGCGCTGCTTTTCGTCATTTTTTTGATGATTTTTGCCTTAAAAATGATTCAGATAGGGAGAAAGTGAGCCAAAAAATATGCCTTTTTCCTTTAAAAAAAGTGCTTTTTTCTTAAAAATATGCCTTTTTCTTTAAAAAAAAAATGCTTTTTTCTTAAAAATATGCTTTTTTTCTTTTTTTAAGTTTGCCAAAATGACGCCCGAAGAGATGGCAACACCAGAGCTGCGAGAGTTACGTGATAAATTGGCAGGCGAAGCACTGGAGCAACATATGCTTCCACAGCTAGAAGTCCCCGGCAACGATAATTACAAGAAAAGCGAAAATGCTGTGTGATTTTCTGCAAACTCCTCAAGCTACGTGTAAAAATTGTATGTATGTGCAGTTTTAATTTTCGTTATTTTGATTAACCTCGTTGTTTTGGGCGTCTTGAGAAGCTTTTCAGGGTCCTGAACTGGTGGCTT